GCAGATCTACTTTCAAAATATTGCATGCTAGCCTTAGTGAGAGTGGCAGGACCTAGCACCTCCTTAACAATTCTTCTTCCATGCTTTGCTTTGTGAGTTTGCTTCATTATCAGCTCCGCAATCTCTTTACGGCAGTTTTGGTCTTACTGAGCTCAAAACATTGTCAGCTTTATCTTAAATAACACTATATTAAGCTCTTAAGAATGCTGGATATTTTTCCTAAGAAGAAATCTTCAAAATCTTCAATTTAACCCTATGTTATATTTTGTAGTTGGTTACTGTCTTTGTAAGGAAGATAGTTGCTTCATGCTTGCAAGCATGGGACATGGAGTATGCATGATATTTTATGTGAATTGGAAACTGGAATCCATCTCTGGTGTGAATTTTGCTGCATGAACCCATTTCTCTAACTTGTAAAGTTGATGCCATATCCAGTTACACTAGTTTCTTCATCAGTATGAACAGTCCTTTAAACATTGCTGTACTCTCTCAGGGCAAAATGCCAGAAATATAGGTAGATAAAAAGCTGGGCTCCTACTAATACTCAAAGATACTTGATCATAAAACTTAATAAATAGAGTTCTTGTGATGAGATTGTTATGGTGATAAAACCAGTCTTTTTCCTTCCAGTGCCATCTGTCTTGTTTGTAAAGAATTGTGCTCATCAGGTGTGCCTTATTGCATCACATGGAGGCATTATACTTAGGAGTTTATCTGTTGTTTTTCATTTTGGTTTCCTCCTGTTTAAATAAAACTGTCAATAATTTTAAATAATCTATGCATTAATAGTTGACACTCCTTCCTTTAGAATCAGCCCTATGGACTGTAAAAATCTGTTGTGTTTCACTGTGTGTCTTTCATTTCTGTTCCCTGGATCCGTATTCATTCTTTCATCAGTCAAAACTGAGATCTCGAAAGTAAAATGAGAAGCAGTGGGGAGAAAGCTAAATGTTGTAAAAATAGGTTGAAACAAATCCATTTTCATGCTTTCCCTCCCATTGTTAGAATAAAAGAGCCTGTAATGAGCTCAGTGAGAATTCATCCCAAGTGGGAAGATTGCAAAAGTGACCGCAAGCGCTAGTGTAGCTATCCACTCTCTTAACCATGGGACTGCCAATGCCTAAAAACTGAGCATAGCTTGTGTCCTGCTATTTTCCAGATGTCCCTGATTGCCATAATGACCATTTAGGTCCAGAAACAGTTGAATAAAACTTAGAGAAACTCAGGCTTTAGTTAGATATGCTTAAGGCAGCACAAAAGATTCATGCTGCTGGCTTTAATTCCACTTGAAACTGTCCATCTCTCTACAAGATGTATATGATAACAACATGAACGTCATTCCTTACTGAGACAGAAGGGTGAAGTGTGTAAAATTATCTTTATCAGCTATAGCCTGCGCATGGAGCAAAATTTAGCTTATTCTATCAACATAGAATGATCGTAAAGAGCATATACATGCATATATCTATATAACTTTTTTTTTTTCTGTCTGATGGCAACACAAGTCCATGATTAATATGTATTAAAATCCCCTGTCTGTCTCTCTTGAGTAACTGCTCTCTCCATGTTTACAATGTCCATTTTAACCCCCAATAGACTTCAGGTGATTGTTACTGAAATTTTGTGGCACTAGTTTCCTTTGTTAAAGGTCTCTGTGCTAAGGACTTCCCCACCTTCCCATGTGAAGTCTCCAAATCCAGTCTCAGCTTTTACTCATCCATGC